CATCAGCAATCATCTGATGATGAAAGTATTTTCTTTTTGGGGATTTTCTTTCTTTTTTGGGTCACCCTGCCTCGGTGGGAGACGACCAACTTGTTGAAAAAAAAAATAAATAAATAAAAAAAATATATATATATACAGTGGACCCCCGCATAACGATTACCTCTGAATGCGACCAATTATGTAAGTGTATTTATGTAAGTGTGTTTGTACATGTATGTTTGGGGGTCTGAAATGGACTAATCTACTTCACAATATTTCTTATGGGAACAAATTCGGTCAGTACTGGCACCTGAACATACTTCTGGAGTGAAAAAATATCGTTAACCGGGGGTCCACTGTATATATATATATATATATATATATATATATATATATATATATATATATATATATATATATATATATATATCCTGTCTAAGGGCAATGTGTGGTGTAAATATTATGCAGAAAATTCGGAGTGTGGAAATTAGGAGAAGGTGTGGAGTTAATAAAAGCATTAGTCAGAGGGCAGAAGAGGGGTTGTTGAGGTGGTTTGGTCATTTAGAGAGAATGGATCAAAGTAGAATGACATGGAAAGCATATAAATCTATAGGGGAAGGAAAGAGGGGTAGGGGTCGTCCTCGAAAGGGTTGGAAAGAGGGGGTAAAGGAGGTTTTGTGGGCGAGGGGCTTGGACTTCCAGCAAGCGTGCATGAGCGTGTTAGATAGGAGTGAATGGAGACGAATGGTACTTGGGACCTGACGATCTGTTGGAGTGTGAGCAGGGTAATATTTAGTGAAGGGATTCAGGGAAACCGGTTATTTTCATATAGTCGGACTTGAGTCCTGGAAATGGGAAGTACAATGCCTGCACTTTAAAGGAGGGGGTTGGGATATTGGCAGTTTGGAGGGATATGTTGTGTATCTTTATACATATATGCTTCTAAACTGTTGTATCCTGAGCACCACTGCAAAAGCAGTGATAATGTGTGAGTGTGGTGAAAGTGTTGAATGATGATGAAAGTATTTTCTTTTTGGGGATTTTCTTTCTTTTTTGGGTCACCCTGCCTCGGTGGGAGACGACCGACTTGTTGAAAAAAAAAAAAAAAAATATATATATATATATATATTTTTTTTTTTTTCAACAAGTCGGCCGTCTCCCACCGAGGCAGGGTGACCCAAAAAAGAAAGAAAATCCCCAAAAAGAAAATACTTTCATCATCATTCAACACTTTCACCACACTCACACATTATCACTGCTTTTGCAGAGGTGCTCAGGATACAACAGTTTAGAAGCATATACGTATAAAGATACACAACATATCCCTCTAAACTGCCAATATCCCAAACCCCTCCTTTAAAGTGCAGGCATTGTACTTCCCATTTCCAGGACTCAAGTCCGACTAAATGAAAATAAATAAATAAATAAATAAATAAATAAATAAATAAATAAATATATATGAATGAATATATGTGAATGATGGTGAAAGTTTTTCTTTTTCGGGCCACCCTGCCTTGGTGGGAATCGGCCAGTGTGATAATAAAAAAATAAAATATAAAAAATATATATACAGTGGACCCCCGCTTAACGATCACCTCCAAATGCGACCAATTATGTAAGTGTATTTATGTAAGTGCGTTTGTACGTGTATGTTTGGGGGTCTGAAATGGACTAATCTACTTCACAATATTCCTTATGGGAACAAATTCGGTCAGTACTGGCACCTGAACATACTTCTGGAATGAAAAAATATCGTTAACCGGGGGTCCACTGTATGTATGTATGTATGTATGTATGTATGTATGTATGTATGTATGTATGTATGTATGTATGTATGTATGTGTGTGTATATATATATATGTATATATATATATATATATATATATATATATATATATATATATATATATATATATATATATATATATATATATATATATATATATATATATAAATATATATAATAATATATATATATATATATATATATATATATATATATATATATATATATATATATATATATATATATATATATATATATATATATATATATATATATATATATATTCTCCATGGGGGAGTGGAACATAATTCTTTCTCCGTAAGCCATGCGTGTTGTAAGAGGTTACTAAAATGCCAGGAGCAAGTAACCCCTTCTCCTGTATAAATTACTAAATTTAAAAAGAGAAACTTTCGTTTTTCTTTTTGGGCCACCCTGCCTTGGTGGGATACGGCCGGTGTGTTGAAAGAAAGAAATTTTTGTACATGTATATATATTGAAAGAATTAGAGGTAAGACAGAATGTAGAATTGCGGATGAGCAAGGAGGTTTTAGAGTGGGTAGGGGATGTGTAGATCAAGTGTTTACATAGAAGCATATATGTGAGCAGTATTTAGATAAAAGTAGGGAAGTTTTTATTGCATTTATGGATTTAGAAAAGGCATATGATAGAGTGGATAGGAAAGCAATGTGGCAGATGTTGCAAGTATATGGAATAGGTAGTAAGTTACTAAATGCTGTAAAGAGTTTTTATGAGGATAGTGAGGCTCAGGTTAGGGTGTGTTGAAGAGAAGGAGACTATTTCCTGGTAAAAGTAGGTGTTAGATAGGGATGTGTAATGTCACCATGGTTGTTTAATATATTTATAGATGGGGTTGTAAAAGATGTAAATGCTAGGGTGTTTGGGAGAGGGGTGGGATTAAATTATGGGGAATTAAATACAAAATGGGAAGTGACACAGTTACTTTTTTGCTGATAATACTGTGCTTATGGGAGATTCTAAAGAAAAATTGCAAAGGTTAGTGGACGAATTTAGGTGTGTGTGTAAAGGTAGAAAGTTGAAAGTGAACATAGAAAAGAGTAAGGTGATGAGAGTATCAAATGATTTAGATTAACATTTTTACTTACCTTTATTGAAGATTGGTGATGGCATCTGGAAGATAGGGAGGAGGAGAGAGGGAGTTGGGGTTAGTGTTTGGAAGGAGAATCCCCCTCCATGAGGACTTCAGGTAAAGCCCTCTCTGGGGTTACTTCCCTTCTCTCTCTTTTTATGCCACTAGGACCAGCTTGAGAGTCACTGGACCCCTGTCTCACTAAATAACTGTCCACAGTCCTCTGTTTCTGGCACCTCTTTAACATTTCCCTAAAATGGGACATGGTTCTGTCATTGAACTTGTTGCAAAGATGGCTTGTTTCAGCTTGCTCAGGGTGGTACTTCTGCACAAACATTTGGACATCATTCCACTTGGCACAAATCTCCTTAATCTTTGAAGAAGGCACCTCATCCACTCCCTATATTAACACCTTTCACAACATCAGCTTCCTTGATTTGTTCTTTCTTTGACAGGATAGAACCGATGGTCGACTTGTTTTTCCCATACATCCTGGCAAACTCAAAAAGTCTCACACCACTCTAATACTTCTGTATTATTTCCTTCTTCACATCTTTGGTGTTTCTTACTTTCTTTACCACAGGGGTACCACTAGGAAGTTTCTTTGGGCCCATAGCAGCTTATTTCACAGTCCCACAAGCACTAAACACAACGAAATACAGTGGACCCCCGCTTAACGATCACCTCCAAATGCGACCAATTATGTAAGTGTATTTATGTAAGTGCGTTTGTACGTGTATGTTTGGGGGTCTGAAATGGACTAATCTACTTCACAATATTCCTTATGGGAAAAAATTCGGTCAGTACTGGCACCTGAACATACTACTGGAATGAAAAAAGTTCGTTAACCGGGGGTCCACTGTAATCGTAAAATGCGTGAATGAGAGCGCAGGTTAGTGTTCACTCAAGCATAAACAAAGCTAGACTGCTTGCAGCGCCTGCGCGGGGATGCAGACAGAGCGAGCGGCAGACAGGTCCCGTACCCGGTGGTCCGAAAATAGGGGCGCGTTCGATAATAGGGACACAGTTTGTCCGAAAAAATGGTCCTATTTTCGAAACGTTCGGTATGTGATATGTTCGATTTTTGAGGTTCCACTGTATAGTAGTACCAACACTCTTGAATGGGTGTGAAGCTTGGGTTGTAAATGCAGCAGCGAGGAGGCAGTTGGAGGCAGTGGAGATATCCTGTCTAAGGGCAATGTGTGGTGTAAATATGCAGAAAATTCGAAGTGTGGAAATTAGGAGGTGTGGAGTTAATAAAAGTATTAGTCAGAGGGCTAAAGAGGGTTTGTTGAGGTGGTTTGGTCATTTAGAGAGAAAGAATCAAAGTAGAATGACATGGAGAGCGTATAAATCTGTAGGGGAAGGAAGGCAGGGTAGGGGTCATCCTCGAAAAGGTTGGAAGGAGGGGGTAAAGGTGTTGTGGGCGAGGGGTTTGGACTTCCAGCAAGCGTGCGTGAGCGTGTTAGATAGGAGTGAATGGAGACAAATGGTATTTGGGACCTGACGAGCTGTTGGAGTGTGAGCAGGGTAATATTTAGTGAAGGGATTCAAGGAAACTGATTATTTTATATAACCGGACTTGAGTCCTGGAAATGGGAATTGCAATGCCTGCGCTCTAAAGGAGGGGTTTGAGATACGTGTATTGGCAATTTGGAGGGATATATTGTGTATTTTTTAAGTATATACATGTACTTCTAAACTGTTGTAATCTGGGCACCTCTGCAAAAACAGTGATTATGTGTGAGTGAGGTGAAAGTGTTGAATGATGATGAAAGTATTTTCTTTTTGGGGATTTTCTTTCTTTTTGGGTCACCCTGCCTCGGTGGGTGACAGTCGACTTGCTGGAGAAAAAAAAAAAAATGCTTGTACATGCATGTGTTGTGTGACCTAAGTTTAAGTAGAAGTAGCAAGACGTACCTGAATTCTTGCATGTTTATGAGACAGAAAAATAGACACCAGTAATCCTACCATCATGTAAAACAATTACAAGCTTCCGTTTCATACTCACTTGGCAGGACGGTAGTACCTCCCTGGGTGGTTGCTGTCTACCAACCTACTACCTAGATTACCTACAGATTTTATAACTTAACAGAAATGCAAAGGTTCATTTTGCAGTAAACTTGCCTGTACACCAGCCATTCAAGTGCCTGTAGAGCAGCCTGTTTCTCTAAATATGGAGACAACAGGAGAAGAAACTGTTCAATGGACTTATCAAGCAACGTATTGGCAGATCTGTCTTTCACTGCACGTTGAACATCCTTTGCTGTCTTCCCAAACAGTGAATTTTCAAATTCAAGAAAATCCCTGTTAGTCTCTACCAGCTCTTCAAAGCCATTCTTGCCTGTAAATGAAAATGAAACTTGCTATTGTTGTGTATGGGTGTTACAAATGTTGTGATAAACTTAAATGTTACAATTTATGATCACCTTGTGTGAGTTATAATAAGGCAGACAAGCCACATAGTATTGGAGTATTTATTTTAGGCCAGATTCTTGATCTGGGAATCTTGTGACATCTGAGAAAGGATTAACACAAAATTTAGTCAGGGGAAAGTAATATAACATGATTCACTCTGAAATACTTCATATTATAAGGAAATTCTTACAATCTTAAGATACTAGAAGCCTCACATACCACATGAACTTTAATAAAACCACCAAACACGAGCACTCAGTTATCTTGCATACACAGTTAATGTTAAACTGACCACTTCTGGCTTCTCCTGACATGCTCACACAAACTCAGTCTCACATCTGACAAACATAAACCAGAGTGACATTCAGGAACCTAGGCAAACAGAGGCTCAGAAAACACATCACTTCATATATGTCAATCATGAGTATGTAGCATGTGTAAGGAACCCTCATCTAGTAAAACACATGAAAGTACATAAGAGGACAAAAGACAAGTACCCAAATTGAGGGGAATGAGCTATAAAAAATGTATGAACTAGGTTTTATGTGACCAGAGGAAAAAAAATAAATACAAAATATGATCATGTACAAATTCTGGGCCATAGACAGGCTAAACATAATAGGCTCTTTACAAGGGATGAGATAGGGACAGAAAGCATAGTTGAAAACTAAACTCAAATGAACAAACAGGATATCAAAAAACATTTCTTCAAAATAAGAAATGGTAAAGAGTTAGAATGACCTGAACAATGACACAGTCAAAGCGAATTTCATACAAAGGTTAAAAAAAAATTAATGACTTATTTCTTGCAATTCAGCCCAAAGTAAAGAGATCAACTCTCAAAAAATAAAATATATAATTAAACTCCACATAGCTATGTTGGCTAATAGAAGAAAAGAAGGTAATATCATAAAAGCATATGAAGAAAAGAAAAAATCTGTTTTCATCATCAATGGGAGAACACAAGACCACAAACAAAAAGTGGATAATAGCAAAAAAAAAAAAAAAATCCTAAAATAGTTTAAGAACAATGTAACGAAACAGGATCTAAGAGGAGGCAACACCTACAGCCAGTGGAAAGTAGAAAAAAAAAAAAATAGAGATTTATCTCTATTTATTTATCTTCGGCATAGTTTTGCTCATGTGAATAAGTGATTTAGAAAAAAACAAGTTGATAAATGAGACATGTGCAACATTTGGGTATCTTTATTCTGAGAATGTTTTACCAGCCAGTGGCTTCTTCAGTCCAGTGCAGACTTCAGGCTGAGTGACTGATTACCTCAAACCACCTTTTCCTGCATTGGACTGAAGAAGCCACTGGCTAGTAAAACTTTTCCAGAATAAAGATACCCAAATGTTGCACAGGTGTCTCATTTATCAGCTCTGCTCCTACAGCTACACCCACACACCATGATAGATGCATGCATTCTCTCCTGTTTAGAGAAAGCAGGGCAATTTCTACCTGTTGTGGAGAAGGAAGTAGAGTTTGGATATGTTTTGTGGCACTCCCTAACATGTAAAGTTTTAAGAGATTCCTGAGTTGAAGCAGCTTTTGTGAATTTTAAGGTAAAATAGTAAAGCAAACATTAGCAGTGCTTTTATTATATAATGGTCAAAAGCACTAGGTCAAATCATGAGTATGCCTCCACACCAAAGAAAAAAAAAATGAGTGGACTGATGGACAAAAATGGAACAAAACCAAGTAAGGCAAAAGGATGATAAAACAAAATGAATAAGGAAAATGAAGAACTGAAGAGTGAAATAGAAGTAATCAAAGGTTATCAACAACTCATGTAGAAAACATTACAAGAGGTATCTGATGTATCACAATGGAACAAGAAGGGATGAACAAAAAAATTGGTAAACAATTCAGTTTATAGAAGGGAAATAGTAGTGATAAAACAAAAATAGAAGAAATTTATTCAGGATTAACAAAGCAAAACTAAATAAACAAGTGAAACTAGCTCTTGATGTCGCAGAAAATGCCAACAAAAGTTTTAAGAAGATTAAAAAAAAAGAGGAATACACAGTAAAGCTATGCGAAAATAAGGAAAAAGTAAACAGAACAGTAGGTTACATAAGACAGAGAAATTTCAGGTAGGGCTAACATTAGACCTGAAATAAAATAAAGAGGGCAAATTGTTCTAAGCTATTCAGGTAAACTGTAGGCAGTGAAAAGACTGTCAGTGTTGTTGGATGTTCTGAAAAAGAAATTGAATCAAGATCAGAAATTGACAAAGAGTAATGAAATCACTTTATTAAGATGACAAAGTACTTCAGAGAATTTAAGTATCTAGGACCATATACTGTAGTAGTTACTAAGGGATACAGGAGAATTGGAAAAATAGAAAAAGATAAAAAATAGGCCACTGAAAATAACAGAAATTGCTAGAGAAAGCTAATTACAAAAAACTGGAAGGTTTGTAAGTCAACAGCCACTAGAAATTCCCAAACTTTCCCAGCTCAACACTTTTAAGGCAGAGAGAGACTGCTACACTAAATATCGTTTAACTTACCAATATCAAAATATGTATCTCTGCCATACTTAGCAGCCTCTGATGGATCAAAGAGAATAGATCTTCGTATTCTTTTATAGTCCAATATAGATGTCTGTGGAGCTGCTAGCTTCTTTAGTTGTGCTTCTAATGAAGTTGCCATTTTTCATAGATAGGAATACTTTTTCACTGGAAAAATAAAGAAAAGATACAGTACATCTTTCTCATTACAGTGTTAAAATTAGGCTTCCAGCTATCTATACATAGTAATTTATGAATAACTTCTGAAGTTACCTATCACCAAAGCAAAAAATAAAGCTTTCTTCTACATAATTTCTGTGACTCTTGCAAACTGTATACAGCTACTAAGTTTCTTGTCACATAAGGGTCAGGGCACTTGACTATCCTCAGGCAAGATCTGGTTGGCTTCTGCATCAGCAAGCTAACCAGTAAACCCTCGATACAACAGACTTTTAAAATTATAGGCAAAATCCACTAGTTAAACTGCACTTTTAACTTCTTTATTTTCAATGTTCATACCACCATATCTGTAAATTGTGTGTACAGTACTATATTAGGTGCTATACTGCAGAGTAATTTACTGCACATTTTAACTATTTTTTAACATCTTTCTGATACAGTGGACCCCCGCATAACGATGGTATCACATAGCGATTATTCCGCATACCGCTTACTTTAATCGCAAAATTTTTGCCGCGCATACCGATTAAAAACCCGCTCACCGATTTTCGTCCGAGACGCGTCCAATGTGCGCCCTCAGCCAGCCTCACATGTGCCGCCCGTGCCATTGTTTACCAGCCAGCCTCCGCGGTAACATCCAAGCATACACTCGGAATATTTCGTATTATTACAGTGTTTTCGGTGCTGTTTCTGGAAAATAAGTGACCATGGGCCCCAAGAAAGCTTCTAGTGCCAACCCTGTGGTAAAAAGGGTGAGAATTAGTATGGAAATTAAGAAAGATTTTGAAGGGTTTGGGGCTAACCCTGAGAAGCCTATGCCAGTTGTGGAATCCATTGTGCCTACTTCAAAAATTAAGGAAATGTGTGCACAGTGGGTTGAAGTGCAAACCTTTATGGATGAAAATCACCCTGACACAGCTGTTGCAAGCCGTGCTGGTGACTATTTCAATGACAATGTTGTGGCCCATTTTAGACAAATCGTAAAGGAACGGGAGGTACAGAGCTCTATGGACAGATTTGTTGTGCGACAGAGGTCCAGTGACTCTCAAGCTGGTCCTAGTGGCATTAAAAGAAGAAGGGAAGTAACCCCGGAAAAGGACTTGCTACCTCAAGTCCTAATGGAAGGGGATTCCCCTTCTAAACAATAAGTTCGACACTCTCCCCTCCTCCCATCCCATCAATCATCACCAGATCTTCAATAAAAGTAAGTGTCATGTAAGTGTGCATGCCTTTTTCAGTTTGTGTGTATTAAAATTAACATTTCATGTGGTAAAAAATTTTTTTTTTCATACTTTTGGGTGTCTTGCACGGATTAATTTTATTTCCATTATTTCTTATGGGGAAAATTCATTCACATAACGATTATTTCGCATAACAATTACCCCTCTTGCACGGATTAAAATCGTTAACCGGGGGTCCACTGTATAATGGACAACCCCTATTAATCCGTTATACTGAGAATTTACTATACATACTTCAGAAGACAACTGGACACTCATGAAATACAGTGGACCCCCGGTTAACGATATTTTTTCACTCCATAAGTATGTTCAGGTGCCAGTACTGACCGAATTTATTCCCATAAGGAATATTGTGAAGTAGATTATTCCTTTCAGACCCCCAAACATACACGTACAAACGCACTTACATAAATACACTTACATAATTGGTCGCATTTGGAGGTAATCGTTATGCGGGGGTCCACTGTATTAATTTCATAAATTAGAAATTGCAAACAACAGGCATTATCATACACCCCTTACCCCATACAGTGGACCCCCGGTTTTCGGCTGGTGTGGAAATCATGCAATTCGGATTTTGAGCACTTTTTTCGAGAAAATTTCCCCCGGGTGTTGTACATCGGCTCAGAAATAGACAGTATCAAACATGCCTTTGTTACTCGTTCACTAAGAGTGTCCTTCTAGTCTTAACGCCCTAGTAATACACCTACCATCCGACTTACGACCTGCTCGACATACGACCATTCGACTTACAACCGTGTTTTCTATGCCAAATTTCTGGGAAATAAACAACTGCTTGTGTTGTACACAGTGTTTATCCTAAACCTTACAGTATAAAATACAGTACTAACAGCATAAAAAATAAAGTAAAAAATGAAATACCAAAATAAAACAATAAAGTCATTACAAAAATGTGATGTTGATATTCAGTAGTAAGGTTCGACTTACGTCCATTTCGACTTATGACCGGTTGGTTGGAACCAAACTCGGTCGTAAATCGAATGGTACCTGTACTAATATGTACAGGTACCATCCGACTTATGACCAAGCTTGGTTCTGACCAACCAGTCGCAAGTCAAAATGGATGTAAGTCGAATCTTACTACTGAATATCAACATCACACTATTGTAATGAATTTATTTTATTGTTTTATTTTGGTATTTTATTTTTTACTTTACTTTTCATGTTGTTAGTACTGTTAGGATAAACACTGTGTACAACACAAACAGTTGTTTATTTCCCAGAAATCTGGCATAAAAGGCATGGTCGTAAGTCGAGTGGTCATATCTTGAGCAGGTCTTAAGTCGGATGGTAATAGTTTGCAATAATAATCACTGTTGGGCACATTAAATGTCTTATTTCAAGTTATAGACATTTTCATTAATCCACCTATGATATTTTCTTCAAAATTATACTATAAGAAACACGTTACATATCATATTAACATGAGATGTTTATATGCTATCGAGGGGTCAAATGGAGGGTAAACATTACATTTTCTGTGGTCCAGCTTCAGAGAAAATGTGTATGAATCTGCGTTGGCACAATAAATGCCCTTAATAGTACATATGACTTTTGTTTACAATTCTCAGCATGAATTATTCATTAATTCTCCCTTTGTTTATGATGGCATCTAAAGGTAGTTGTTAGAAATGATTAATCTCAGTGAACATGGTATGTTGATGGTAATAATATGGCTGTAGGCCGCAGTGTATGTAGCTATATGCCTAGGATGTAGTCCCTCTGGGATTACAAATAACTACTACTCACCAACAAGAGTCTTCAATAAAGGTATGTGTAATGTTCATTTATCATTAAAATTAGTTATTTATATTTATTTCTCATTGTTTTCTGTATGTAAAACTATATTCTCTATATAATGTAGTTTTTGTTAATATTTTTGGGTGTCTGAAACGGATTAATTGGATTTACATTATTTCTCATGGGAAATATTACTTCGGTTTTCGGCCATTTCGGATTTAGGCCAACCTTCTGGAATGGATTAATTACGAAAACGAGGGGTCTACTATATTAGTAAGTTAGAGGTTTTACTGTACAAATCTGTAATTCCCAAAACTGTAAGAACACTTTATATTTTGGAAATAAAACTTGCATTGTATCAAACGATTTATCCAATGAAGTCAGTGTAGCTCAATGGTAACAGAGGGCAACAAATGTTTTAACCCTTTCAGGGTTTCGGACGTACATACAGTGGACCCCCAGTTAACGATATTTTTTCACTCCAGAAGTATGTTCAGGTGCCAGTACTGACCGAATTTGTTCCCATAAGGAATATTGTGAAGTAGATTAGACCATTTCAGACCCCCAAACATACACGTACAAACGCACTTACATAAATACACTTACATAATTGGTCGCATTCGGAGGTGATCGTTATGCGGGGGTCCACTGTACTAGTATGGCTTACGCGCCAGGGTTTTTGACGTACTAGTACGCATAAATTCTAGCACCTTCAAATCTCGCGGGAAAAGGCTGGTAGGCCTAGATGTGAGAGATTGGGTGTGTGGTCAGTGTGTGCAGTAGAAAAAATCTGGGACCCAGTGGCACATTGTGGGAATGCCATTTTAGTAGACTTTGTTCACCATACCTCGCGGTAAGAAGTTCCGTTCCTCACTCCTCGGTGAATTGGGACACTTTTGTTCCCCAGTGACAGTTCTAATACAGATCGAAGTGCCAGTGAAGATGAGTTTCAAGGTTTTGGTGAGATTGTGACTGAAACTAATGACCACAATATCGGTAATAGTGAGGAAAACCCAGACAACCCTCAGTCTTCCACCTCTGCTGCTGGGCCGTCTTGTTCACGTTCGGTTGTACCAGAATCAAAGAGGAAACTCCTATTTTCCCAAATCCCGGACTCAGATTTGAGCATTGGTGATGATAGTGATAGTGAATATGAACTACAAGCTCTTGAAAACAGTTCCAGTAGTGATAGTGAAGTGGAATATTCTCCAGTGAAACGTCAGTATATACGACGATATATGCTCTCTGGTAGTGTGCCATATGCTATTCCAAGGGGAAGGAGTACATCTCGGAGTACATCCTGTGGCTGTACAACAGGAACAGACAGTGAAAATGAAGATGATAGTGTTGCAATTGGGATGGAAAATGTGCATGGTGGTGGTGGTGCTGACCATGAGGCACCAGCAGTGGGCCATGCTGCCACCCAAGCCACTGCCTCAGCGAATCTACAACAAAGGCCACCATTCCCCACCCACTCACCACACCAGCCTCCACAACCACAACCACCTGTCAATGTCCAGTACCCACCAGCAGACCGCACCTGGGATTGGCAGGAAGCTGTCAATTTTGTTCCAAATCCCCACCAGTTTGATGAAAGCCGAAGTGGAATACGGCCATGTTGTACACTGGGGAACAATGGCAGTGAACTGTAATGTTTCGAGTTATTCTTTGACGAGCCCCTGATGGAAATTATTGTCAGGGAAAGCAACAGATACTACAAGTACACCATGGCAAACACAATACTTTCACCAAAATCATGTCTACCCAAGTGGAAGGAGACAACTGTGGCTGAGATGTATCTTTTCTTTGCCACAATAATGCTTATGCCACATGTGTATAAGCACACTGTGAAATCATACTGGTCAACAGACAACCTGATTGCAACCCCAGGTTTCAGTGATATAATGGGAGTGAATCGATTTGTGCCACTATTATGTATGCTTCACTTCGCAGACAAAACCAGGCGTGACAGAAACGACAGGTTATATAAGATTAGGAATGTGTTTGTGTATCTGAAAGAGAAATTCAATATGTATTTTTATCCGTTCAGGAAGCTTGTAATTGACGAGTCTTTGATTCTGTTCAAAGGAAGACTTTCAAGCAGTACATACCAAGCAAGAGGAAAAACTTTGGTATAAAGTTGTTTGTGCTTTGTGACTGCTACAGTGGTCTTGTATTGGATATTATTGTGTACACTGGAAGTTATACATTGCAAAATACCAGGAAGTTATTGGGCATCTCTGGTGATGCGGTTAGAACAATGATAGAACCATACCTTGGTAAGGGGCATATATTATATACTGATAACTGGTACACAAGCCCCTCACTCAGTGATTTTTTGCGAGTGAACATGACAGATGTGTGTGGCACAGTGCATGCAAATCGTAAACACATGCCCAGGTTTGACGCTGGCACTTGTAGAGATGAGGTGCAGGGGTTTGCTGCCAATGACATCATGGTATTTCGGTGACATGAGAAACGAGATGTCACACTGTTGTCTTCAGTTTACCCTAACGAAATGAAAAACACTGGCAGGCAGCATAGAGACAGCAACAAATCCATTCTAAAACCTGCAGCTGTGATTGATTACACCTTCAATATGCACTCAGTGGACAAATGTGACATACAGATTGGGTTTGCTGATTGTGTTCGCAAGAGTTATAAGTGGTACATAAAACTATTTTTCCATCTTCTGGATATTTCCATGCTCAATGCTTATAATATGTATAAGATGAGGACCAGAAACAAACCACCATATGTCGAATTCTGTTTGTCTGTCATCAGACAAATAGTATTCAAGTACCAAGGAACAACACCTGCAATAGACCGCCCACTAAATTATCAACAACTACCTTCTCGTCTGAAGCATGGTGATCACTTCCTAATACAACTGCCTGCTACTGCTTTCAAGAAAAAGGCTCAGAAGAGGTGTTACGTCTGTGCACATACAAAAGAAAGACGCCCACAACAATGCAAAGACACTCGTATTATGTGTGAGGAGTGTAAAACACCACTGTGTATGACACCATGTTTCAAAGACTTCCACAGGCTGTAGAACTTCTAGAAACATTCCCTGTGACTGTATATGTGTATATAAAATATAGAAAAATAGTAATAAACAACATTTCATATCGTTTGTTTGTGTAAATATTTTTTGTAAACAAAACAGCAACAACAGTGTTTATGCAGTTATTGTGTAGTAAATAAAGGGAAAAAGCTTACAAAATAGTGCTCATATTGGTCTCACAAGCCATAAAAGTTACTTGGAAAAAAAAAAAATAATAGAAAATAGTACCTAAAAAATTAATAAAGTAATACCGGGTGACCGGCAGTCATCGATGTTACCGTATGCAGGTCATTTTCTGTCTACTTCATGCCTCCATATCTCGGTAAGTATTGATGGTAAAAATTTTTGTTTAGCCTATAATGTTCAGAAAAAAAAAAAAACTATCTTTTCATAAGAAATTTTTTTTTTTAAATTTTGGCGACCTTGAGAACAAGTCTCTGAGAGGGCCTGGCGACCCTAGAAGGGTTAAAAAAGACTTAATCATATGTCTGGCTTTGTAAATAGTTCATTACCTCTACTGTAACTTGTATAGTTTGAAAATTTTGCAGCCCAGTCACTGAACCCATTACGTGCCTCTGTAATATGTTGACTAATGCCAACATCATGGGTATAGGGTACATAATAAAGATGTTAAACTGAACTATTATTTTGCCAAGGGCTAAAATAATTTTTTGCTGATCATATTTCACATTTCTCTTATTTGACAAAATAGTGAAAACTCATTGACTAGCTGATGTTTAAGTGAATTGCGTTACTGCCACCTATAGAGTTGATGTACTCCCAGTCATCATTAAAGATTCAATCTGGCACACTTCTAATTTATATAATCATTCATATCCACATATTTCTGTAATATTAAATGAATAATAGTCAGGTGAAGATATGCCAATAAATACTATGCCCCAAAATATTCCTTGCTTCATTTTGTTAATAAAATATATTGAACCTTAATGCCAAGATTATTATATTCATGGGGATACACTAAACCCCTAAGTGTCATACAGCACCTCGACAGAAGCGATTTGATTTGCTCTGAACATGGGGAGAATAACTTTACTTTCTTAGAGCAAGAGATAATAATAATAGATTACAAGGACCCCAATGGAAATAAGTCGCATATGTTACTATGCACGATAACTGTAGCCAACTAAATTTGTGTTAAGTGTACTTATGTGTACCTGTACCTAAATAAACTTATCTAGCCCTTTACCAGCATCAAGGAACTTCCTCTGAAGGTCTTCATATCAGGAATGGGAATGAAGCAAGTAATTTTATTCAGGTACAGGAACACATAAATACAGTTACATAAATTTTCATACATGGCAGCATATGTGTAGATTACCTAGGATAACTCAAGAAAGTCAGACAAAATGGCTTATTTCCATTGTAATAAGTACCTTATTATTTTAAATAGTAAAAGAAGATACACTAGGATTAAGGAAAACTGAGTTATTTACATTTACATTAGAGAGAGGACAGATCACAATAATAATAATAATACTATCTTTATTTACTACAAGTACATGTACATGGCATACAGGCCTAGCTGACATCAATGACATACTACTATATAGAAAGCCGCCTGTTACACAGAGCATTTCGGGCAAATTAGGTCAGTTTTGTCCCAGGATGCGACCCACACCAGTTGACTAACTCCAAGGTACCCATTTTACTGGTAAGTGAACACAGACAACCGGTGTAAAGAAACACGCCCAATGTTTCTACCCTAGCTGGGAATCGAACCCAGACCCTTGCCGTGTGAAGCGAGAGCTTTAGCCACCAGGCCACAGGGCACCATGCATGTTAGTTATACCAGAAATCACTCTCCTCCCTTTCTGTTACTACATTCATTAGGTACCTTTTGGGTCTTCTTGAACTGGCTCATGCTATGGCAGGCTTTGACATGTGCAGGCAATTTGTTGCTCTCCTTTATTGCTGTACAATAAAATGTGTTTAAAGTCTGGCCACTGACTGTGGGTACTACAAAGTTGTTCTCAGCCTTGACAACTTGGCAGCAAGATATTCTGGACACTGTGAGCAATTTTATAAACGTGATTTAACTTCAACATTCAGCAAAACAACTGTAGGAGTCCATCAACATAAGGGATGGCTCACCAACCTCACAACAATGAACACGCGTAAGATCTACAAAAAAAAAAATTCAACTTAATAATAGTCTAAGGATACCCTACCTTTTATGGACTTTAAGACTGAAAATGTAAGTTGAAATTGGGAAGGACAAAACACATGGTGCTTCTTGTTCTTGTTGGGTTTATAAGGGCCACTGACAGCTTACACAGTATCGAGTCCAGCTTCCCGGTGTACGGGGATGATATATTACCCAAGGCTGGGCGTGTGTGTGTGACTCAACAATCAATATTTGCACCAATAACTCATTACAGTTGTGACCGGGTGTGGAAGTGTGAATTGCTCATTACTCTATAATTTGTTCATGATTGTAGCCATGTATAAACGTAAGTAACCATTCTACAGAATTCATTACCTTTGTAACTTGTGAGCTCATTACCTTTGTACCTAGTTCAGCTATCAAAACTTTGGGGGCCCAGTCCCTGGACCCATTACGTACCTCTGTAATCTGTAAATACCTTTGTAACTTGTCATGATTGTGACCAGACCTACCTGGAGTTCATTACCTTTGTAAATTGTGAGTTCATTACCTTTGTAAATTGTGAGTTCATTACCTTCGTAAATTGTGAGTTCATTACCTCTGTAACTTGCTCAGCTATCAAAACTTTGGAGTCCAGTCCCTGGACCAATTATGTACCTCTGTAATCTTTTGACTACCGCCCACAGGATGGGTATGGGGTGGCAATATAAACACAAATGCAGTATAATGTGATCCTTTATTGACTACGTTTCGCCCACACAGTGGGCTTTTTCAAGTCACAAACAGAACTACCTGGGGTGAACGAACGAACGAAAGTTCAGGTAAGATCCCAAATGGGATGAGCGGGGAAGACGGGACAGACGAAGAATAGTGCTGGAGAGGAGTGTTCTTAGTCGTAGAAATAGAGCCAGGGCTTAACCCAGCAGCAAAGGCGATCGTGGGACAGATATTGAAAAGAGAAATTCCGGTTCTTCTGTTGGGACTCCGGTGGGGTGAGCTGGGAGTAAGGGACTTGCGACGTTTAGAGCTAGAGAGGAGTGCAGAACTGAGTCATGTCTTAACCCAAAAAGCTAAGGCGAACGTGGGTCAGAGAATGGTACCTGTCTTAGAAGGTACCTGTCAGCGGATCCAAGGTTATTTGTAAGTAGGGTTAGGAGCAGGATCATGCAAGGAGTAGAAAAGGTTGTGTTGGTTTGTGGGTCTGCGAATGTCTTCGTCAAGGAGAGAGGTCCAGTAGTCATGTCGTGTCTCAAGTTTGTCTATCTGTCTGTCACTGAGCCTCTTCCAGTACAGATTCAGCGCAGGGACGTCTAACTGGGCATGGAGAGACTCGCTTGTGGCGAAGTCCTCCCATCTGACATCAAGCACCCAGCGCA